TATATATATATATATACATACACGAGATCCATCTGGATAATCAGGATCTTCTCATCTCAAAAATAAAATCCTTAAGAAGATCTTCAGGGTCCTTTTAGTCATATATATAACATTCACAGGTTTTGTTACTCAGCCTACCACAACCATTGGCTTACAAATAAAGTTTCCAGAAACATCTTTGAACAAATACCCCTACTCATTTGTGTGAGGCTCTCTTATAGTGGACTCCTAACAGTAGAATCACAAGGTGAAAGCATACATATTCCTTTATCATGCCTTATATCTCCTTCATATAAGAGCTGATAATTGGCCAGCCTCTGATTTCTCTCATTTTGCGAATTAGCGGAGTTCTCTTGGAAGAACTGACTTTCTCACAGTCCCTTTTGGCACGTGTATAGTCTTGCATGTTCTTTGGGTCTTATTTACTTTTAATTTCTTTAAAATGTGTATTTTTAAGAGAGACCAAGAGCCAGTGGGGAAGGGACAGAGAGAGAGAGGGAGACTAAGAATCCCAAGGAAGCTCTGGGACCCCGGGTCTTTTAATTTCCATAGACAGTGGATACCTATGTGACAGTCTAGTTTAGTGGTCAGTCTGCCTGAATTCAGTTCCAATCTCTACTAGTTTCTAACAGGATTACCTTGGCAGGTAACGTAACCTCTCTGAGCTGCTTCTTCACTTGCAAAACAATTTAATTATAGTGTCTTCCTCATAGAATTTCTGTGAAACTTCGTGAAGATACTATGTTCAAAGTTCCTGTCATAGTTCCTGACATACAAGTATTCAATAAACATGAGCTAATACTATTTTTATCATTTGCTTTTACATCTCAGAAATTCTTTTTTGTTTTGGTTCTGCTAATGGCTTTTCCAGTTTTCTGGCATTGTTCTAAGTGTATTCTGATTTTTCCCCCCCTTTCCTTTAATTTGGATTTTGAGTGAGAGGGAGGTGGATGTCTGTGCTCACTTGACAGATCCCAGCCTGGGATTTAAATTCCCTTTTGGCGGGGACTTGCCTTTCTCCCCGACTTTGCCCTCACAACACCTGGTGGGTTCTCAGTAAATATTTGTATAATTGTCGATGGGGGGGGGGTCCCAAAAGTAACATAAATAGTCCATTTGAAATATACTTAGAATCCTGGGACATCAGGGTTGGTTGTCGCACATCCCTGCGTCACCGGCGTTACCGAGTGGTGGAGAACTTGGTCCTGGGTGAGCAGGAATGGGTTTGCCATTACAGGAGTCTGTGACGTTCAGGGACGTGGCCGTGGTCTTCAGCCAGGACGAGTGGCTGCACCTGGACTCTGCGCAGAGAACCCTGTACCGGGAGGTGATGCTGGAGAACTATGGCACCCTGGTCTCGCTGGGTAAGGAGGCTCATCTGTAAGGGAGAATCTGCTGCGGGAGCGCCTTTGAGCTGCCCCTGTGGGGTTCAGAGTCCGCAGTTTCTCCCCTAACGAGCCCCTGGGAAAGGAAGAGCCTCTGCGGATTCAAGGCACGCATTTGTGTCCGGATGCCCTTCCTCTGCCTTCCTCCCACCTGCCTCCTGACCAGGGTGGTCCTCCTCCTGACCAGGGTGGTCCTCCTCCACTCACTGGGTCCTGTGGGGGGTCAGGGGGGGAAGAGGGATAAGGCTGTGTTGTTTCTGAACCAAACCCACCTGCGATGTGCTGCGTGCCCCACCTCCCCAGGCTCCCTTCTCTGCCCTTATGCCTCTGGTTTGTGAGCTCCGGACTTGCCCCATCTGCTCAAACTCCATTCCCTTCCCCACGAGCAGGGATTCCATCTTCGATGCCAAAGGTGATCTGCCGGTTGCAGCAAGGCGAGGATCCTTGCGTGGTGGAAAGGGAAACCCCTCAAGACGCCTGTCTGGGTGAGTGCGCGGCTGGGAACCGGGCACAGGGCGGGGTATATATGAGAGCAGGTCAGGAGGAGGCGGTGCTCTGAGAATTTTGCTGGAAGTGCTGAGCCAGGGCCCCCTCATGGGAAGTTCCTTGGTGATAATGGTTTTCTTTGCAGCAAAAGGCCCCTGAGTAGACCTCTTTCTTTGCTTAACGCGCCCTGCTTTCCCTCTTTCCTTCTCTGCCACTTCACCCACTTCCTTCTGCTGTCTTGGCCTCTTGATTTCCACGGTTTTCTTTCCATCTGCAATTACACATGACAGACTTGAAAAACTTTACACCTTCGGTTGCGTCTTGAATTCTTTGTAATTTCTCTCACAACCCCATATTTCAGGGTGTTGTCAACGCTTCCGTGTCTCAGGTTTCTTAACTCATCATTTCCCTTTTATGTCCCTGGAGACTGGGGCTGTCGTGTCCCACTGTGAGAGTCAACCAGCTCCCCTGGACCTCTGTAGCTTTTCTGGTCCAGGGCTTGGCATGCTTTTCCCACAGTGGACCAGATGGTAAATATTTTGGCATTGGGGGCCACAGGTCTCTTTTGCAGTCCTTAAACTCCGCCATTTTAGTGCAAGGTAATGCAAATGCAGACAGAGACAGTAAGTAATCAACCCATAGGTGTGGCTGCCTTCTAGCACCAGAAGGAGGTATCAGCTGGAGTTGGCCCAGAGACCTGTAGTTTGTAGACTCCTCTTCTAGCCTAGTCTAAGCTCACTGGTCTTTATCATAAAACTGTAAGTTGTTGAAGTTAGAAGATCACTTGAAGACCGTCAAATTTAGATACCTCTCTTTATCACGGAAGAAACAGTGCATCAGAGGTTGTCAAACACTTTGCTGGCAGAGCTGGAAAAGCTGAAAAGCAGTGAGAAAAGCCTCGATCACCAGTGTCATTTCTGTTCACCGTGTGACACAGAATGGGCAATATTTTGTGGTTTGTGGTCTTTGTGGTTTGACCTTTATAATCTATGATTCTTGCCTTTATTGGCATGTTTTGTTTGCTCGTTGTCTTCACAAATACTTTTCACCTTTATTAAAATACAGTTTTCTAGGGGCGCCTGGGTGGCTCAGTCAGTTAAGTGTCCAACTTTGGCTCAGGTCATGGTCTTATGGTTCATGAGTTCGAACCCCGGGATTCTGTGTCTTCCTCTTTCTCTGCCTCTTGCCAACTCATGCACGTGTGCATGTGCACTCTCTCTTGAAAATAAAGAAACATTAAAAAAATTAAAAAAAAAACCAAAATACAGTTTTCTCCAAAGAAAGAGTTACTGAGTAGTACAGCCTAGCATATAAGATCATGATTTGACTTTGGACATTTCCTGATTTCATGTTACCCCTGCCACTGCTTCCAAGTGCTCTGAGCTACAGGGAAAGTTACCTACCTTCTCTGAGCCTTGTTTTCCTCTCTCACCTTCTGGGCCATCAGCAGAGTGATTGATCTTTTCAAAACTCAGGTGTTATTCCCATACCTTAAGAGACCTTGTTGTTTCTCTCTTTATCCACGGAGTAAAGTAAAATTCCTTAATGTGACATTAAACCTACTTCGTAGCCTGTCTCCATGTTGCTTTATAGGAATCAGTGGCCACTTCCACTCCGGCTCCATGTTCTGGCCAAACCTGAACCCTCATTAACATTTGTGTGTCATTCCTTCTCGGGTTACTGCTTCCCCCTTGTCCACAGGAAACCTTAGATCCATCTGCCTCCCCTCATCTGTGGGTTTTTCTTATTTTTTCCTGCTTCCCAGTCAGCATCCATTTTCCAGTCAGTCGCATTCATACGGCACTTTCTGGATGCCTTGAACACATCCATTACAGCATCTGTTGTAGTGAATTATAGTTATTCTCCTGTTATTTCTTTTCCTAACTGGATTGTGCATATTTAAGGAAGAAACCAGGTCTGTCTTTGAATTCTGTGCCTGTAGCATCAAATATACTGCCTTCACTTAATATTTTTTTAGTGTAATTGAACTGCCTTTATGATTAACTCAGTGCCGAGGAAGCTCAGATTTAAGTACTCAGTGCAACCAGACCATGGCAGCTATATCATTGTTCACCTTCCACTCTGTCCTCATTCTTACCAAATAAGGCCACTGTTTCCTATTATTATCTGCCTAAGAACTTACAACCCCTCCTGTGACCTGTATTATTATTCTGAATTCTTCTGCCAGTTGTTCAGGAACTCTGTGTTTGGCTTTACCCTGTTATTCCAGGGGCTCCTGGGTGGCTCAGTCAGTTAAGCCTCTGACTTCAGCTTAGGTCATGAGCTCACAGCTCTGTGCTGACGGCTCGGAGCCTGGAGCCTGCTTCGGATTCTGTGTCTCCCTCTCTCTCTGCCCCTCCCCCTCTGTGCGCTTGCTCTCTCACGCGTACACCCTCTCTCTCTCTCAAAAAAAAATAAACATTAAAAAAATTTTTTTAAATGAATTCGAACCTGGATTTCCTCTTTTAGTCATTAAGCCCCTCCCCCTGCCCCCAAATAGGTTTACTTTCCCCACAGATGACTTTGATCAGGCCTTCTTTCTGACTCATAGACTCCTCTTTTCATTTTCTACTGAAATCCATCCCCTTGCTCTTTATTATCCAGCTTCCTTTATAGAACCACTCCTTGCTAATACTGTTGGTGTTGGTGTCTTGGTTCTCTGAACCTCACACCAACATTATACAGCCGAGGCTTCTCATATCAAGGAGAAATGAACCATTACTGTTTAATCATTTGTACGTTTCATATTATCATTGCTGATTATTCACTATTTGTTCAAAAAATGACTGGGTTTCAGGAGTCTGTTATAAGAGGAGGGAATTCATTTTTGAGGTCACCTGCTCTTCATAATTTTTCCAACTAACTCTGCCCAGTTTTGTTGTTTTTTATGTTTATTTATTTTGAGAGAGAAAGAGAGCACAAGAAGGGGCGGGCAGAGAGGAGAGACAGAATTCCAAGCAGGGTTCGCACCATCAGTGCAGAGCCTAATGCCAGACTCAAACTCCTATACTGTGAGATCATGACCTGAGCCAAGATCAAGAGTCAGTTGCTTAACTGATTGCACCACCCACATGCTCCCATTATTTTTTTTATGCAAGACACTCTAATTGCGTGCTTATCATGTGCACAGTAAGGAATTAACAAATAATGATGTTAATGTTTATAATGTTAATGTATAATATAGGTATGTAATATACATTATAGCATGTATAATATACAATATGTATGTATAGTATATACATATATATACATAATATATCTATATTAATATACACTAATAATGTACATTAACAATAAACAAGATATTCTCCTTGAACAAACACTTGAATTATTTTCAGACTTCGTGTATGTATATATGTTAAGTGATAGAATGTTTAAGTAAAATATGTTTTGGAAGAGAGAGAGAGAGAGACTGATTTAGGCTTTAGTCATTAAATTTCTTTAGAAAAATGAGATTAGGGTAGCCTAGTAGATTTCTGGATGGGCAGGGAATGTCATATTGTGACAAAGGATAAAAAGAGGGGAGGTACCCTGGTCAATCCTTTAACTTGCAAACTGTTAGGTTTTCCATTAACATCTTGAAGAAAAATCTATATTTTTATACAGATTTATAGCCTGTGTGCCTTCTTCCTCTTATTATTTAATTTTAATCATATATATTTTATTATTATTTAATTTTGATCATATATATTTTATTTATATATTATATTTATATATTAATTCTGATGGATTTTTATTAACCTAAATTTAAGTATATACAATTACCTAATTACACAGACCTAGTTTTAACCTATTTTCAATCATGGATTGATTAAAGAAAGCCAGATTTGAGCCCACAGTTCCATAGAATCAGCTCAAGCTGAATCCTTTCACTTAACATCATATCTGAGCTTGGGGCTTGGGCATATTTCAGAACTTTGGGGCATATTGACTCCACATTTCTTGTAAACTTTCATTTGTCTAAAGAGATTCTCACAGGGGTGCCTGGCTGGCTCAGTCAGTGGAGCATGAGACCTTTGATCTTGGGGTTGTGAGTTTGAGCCCCATGCTGGGTATAGAGATTACTTAAAAATAAAATCTTTAGGGGGCGCTTGGGTGACAGTCTGTTAAGTGTCCGACTTTGGCTCAGGTCATGATCTCACGGTTCGTGAGTTTGAGCCCCACGTCAGGCTGTGTGGTGACAGCTCAGAGCCTGGAACCTGCTTTGGATTCTGTGTCTCCTTCTCTTTCTGCCCCTCCCTTACTCAAACTCTGTCTCTCTCTTACTCTCTCTCTCAAATAAATGAATAAACATTTAAAAAATTAAAACTTTAATAAATAATACAAATATAAAAATAAAAAGATTCCTACAAAAGGAGGTCAGTCTTCTGGTTGCAGCTTATTAGAAGAGATGACTATCTATTTTTCCTCGTGATCAATTTGGAAGGGAAAAGTGGGGGCAGGGAGGTGTGAACAAAACTGTTATTCCTCCAATCACCAGGGATAGGTTGTTGCACGAGGCTGATTTATTCCATATTTTCCTCTTCTTTATAGTCAGCATCTTGAATTTAGATCAGAAATCCTCAATACAGTCATGCTTCAGGGCTGCTATAAGTTTGAAAACCTGAGCACCCTCTTATTAACAGACTGTTTCTCCTTTCACAGACTATGATACGAAATCATATTCACATACAGATTCACAAAATCTAAGGAAAACATCACAGATATTTTTAAATGATCACACCTAGAGTTTCAGCTATGGGCACTAACATCATAAAATCCACATGTGAATAGAAAGAAGATACGGGTGCCTGGCTGACTCACTTGGAGGGGCACACAACTCTAAATCTTGGGCTTGTGAGTTCAAGCCCCATGCTGGGTGTAGAGATTATGCAAAAAATAAATAGATAGATAGATAGATAGATAGATAGATAGATAAGTAAGTAAGTAAACTTAAAAAAAAAAAAAAAGGAGAAAATAAAGACAAGTTACCTACCTCATGGCCCAGCATACAGAACAGGAAATGATACACTGAAATGTGCCACAGTTTATTCAACTCGAACTTAGGAGCTAACATTTTTCTGTAGCCTCATACCTTCAGCTTGACCTGTTCTCTCTCTGCCTCTGCTTCTCTCAAGTTGCAATGTCTTTGTTTCCAGTGTTATTCTGTTCACTCTATTCTCCGACACCACTCCTTCACCTGTTTACCACTCTTCCTTTCCATCCTATCCTGTTTTTCCCCAGTGGCAAGTCCATATTTGAGATCAAAAGAGGTATAAAACCTCTTTTATTTATTTATTTTTTTTGAGAGAGAGAGAGAGAGCAGGGGAGAAGGGCAGAGAGAGAGGGATAGAGAGAATCTCAAGCAGGCTCCACTTTCAGTGCAGAGCCCGACATGGGGCTGGATCCCACAACCCTGGGATCATGACCTGAGTTGAAACCAAGAGTCGGACGTTCAGCTGACTGAGCCACCCAGCCACCTCTCAGACCTGTTTTATATGTACTATTGCCAATTTTACTGTTCCACGGTTGCATGTTTCTCTCTTCCTGTAGAGGTGCCGTTAATGCTTCTGATCCACTCCAGGTTTCAAGACTTGGCCTGAAATGGAAGCCTCACCTCCCAGACAGGACATTTCTATAGAAGAAACATCTCAGGGAATAATAAAGAAAAAGTCCATTAAGTTTGGTCACTGGGACATCGATTTTGGACAGACTTTGGAATTGGAGAGTGGAACAGAACAGGAGCAACGGAAGAAACCTCTTCAGCAAATCATGACCTCACACAAAAAAACTGTGAGTGGAGATGTAAAGCAGACACGTCTTGAATTGGGGAAAGGCTTACTTATAAATACAATTCTTGTCACACAACAGAGTGTTCCTATAGAAAGGATACCCAATATATATTACACTTTTGGGAGAGGTTTTAAACAGAATTTTGATTTAATGAGATGCATCCAGATTTACCCAGGAGAAAAACCTCATCTTTGTAATGAATGTGGGAGAAGCTTCAACCAGAGTCTCCATCTGATTGAACACCAGAGAATTCACACTGGTGAGAAACCCTACAGATGTAGTGAGTGTGGGAAACCCTTTAGCCACAGATCCTCCCTTCTTGCCCATCAGAGAATTCATACTGGAGAGAAACCTTACAAATGTAATGAATGTGAGAAGGCGTTTAGCAGCAGCTCGACCCTAATCAAACACCTGAGGGTGCACACCGGCGAGAAACCCTACCAGTGTAAGGAATGTGGTAAAGCCTTTAGCCAGTGTTCAACCCTCACTGTACATCAGAGGATTCATACTGGAGAGAAACTCTATAAATGTGCTGAATGTGAGAAGGCCTTCAATTGTAGAGCAAAACTTCACAGACACCAAAGAATCCACACAGGGGAGAAACCCTATAAATGCAGTGAATGTGGGAAAGGTTACAGCCAGTTTGCATCCCTGGCTGAACATCAGAAGCTTCATACTGGAGAACAGCTGTGTAAATGCTTGGAATGTGGGAGAACCTTCACACGCATCTCCACCCTTATTGAACACCAGCGAATTCATACTGGTCAGAAACCCTACCAGTGCAATGAATGTGGGAAAGCCTTCAACCAGTATTCATCCTTCAGTGAACATCGTAAAATTCACACCGGGGAAAAGCTTTACCCATGTGGAGAATGCGGGAAAGCCTTTGGTTGCAAATCCAACCTTTACAGGCATCAGAGAATTCACACTGGAGAGAAACCCTACCAGTGTAATCAGTGTGGGAAAGCCTTCAGCCAGTATTCATTCCTAACAGAGCATGAGAGGATCCATACTGGCGAGAAACTCTACAAGTGCATGGAGTGTGGGAAAGCCTACAGTTATAGATCAAACCTTTGTAGACACAAAAAAGTTCACACTAAGGAAAAACTCTATAAATGGAAGGAATATGGGAATCCTTTTATCTATAGCTCCGCCCTTACTCAGTATCAGAGATTTCTCAGAGATGATGAGTCCTATGAAGTTTAATTCTTCTCTCAAATGATTCAAGACTTCTCACTGGAGAATAATAAATAGGGCACAGACTCCAGATCAGATAAAGATTTTTTTTTTACTTTGGGAGGAAATATGCTAGTTTCCACTAAGTCATGGTAAAATTGATCAATGGAATTATGAAGAGCACCGATTTGTCAAATTTTATAAGAATCATTAAATATTAAATGCTAAGGTTACAAAGAACATATAATAATTTTTAAATTCATAGAAAAAATATAAAAGGCCTAACTTAAAAAAATAGTAAAAATAATGGAATGTGAGTTTTGTTTCTTTTTCTTTTTCTTTTTCTTTTTCTTTTTCTTTTTCTTTTTCTTTTTCTTTTTCTTTTTCTTTTTCTTTTTCTTTTTCTTTTTTAGAGAGAGAGCACAAGTGGGGAAGAGGGGCGGTGGGGGGAGAGAGAGAGAGAGAATGGGAGAGAGAATCCCAAGCAGGCCCCACACCCAGTGCAGAGCCTGATGCAAGACTTGATCTCACAAATGTGAGATCATGACCTGAACTGAAAGCAAGAGTTGGACGCTTAACTGACTGAGCCACCCAGGCACCCCTAAGTTTTGTTTCTTTCATTAGAGTTTATTCCCTAAGAGTAAGCTTCAGTATGAATTTTCTTTTAAAAACGGTCATTGAGTTAAAGTGAATAAGCGTGAGGCCCATAATTTGCTAAAATGGCAGGCAAATACAGGACACATGCTTTTCAATGAAGAGAAGCTCAAGATAAAAAGGAATTCTTTAAATTCAAATTTTCACATGGAAATAATCAAGCTCAATTTTTCATGAACTGTGTCACTGGCAGGTTATATATATAAATATATATCTATACACATATGTGTACAAACATACATATGCACAAGCTTTGGAATATATGTATATTTTTTCCAAAAGTTTTTGATGATTAAAAAAACATGGTTTCATTAACCTAGAATTCAGTTTTGGAAATTGAATTTTTTCCCAAAGTGAGTCTCTTTTCCTTTTCCTTACATTATTTCTTAATTTGACATGATTTGACATTACTGAATAGTCTTAGGCTAGTATTATAGAAGGTGCAGTAAATTGAGGCCAGTGGAGAGAATGTGATGCAAATACTCTGTTTTCTGTTGCAGGAGGTACGTATTTACAGAATCTGACTACAGCTGGTAGCTCATTAGAGCCAGGTGGAATTTTAATTTAGTTTATTTATAGCTAACAAAATTGAGCTTATTGGGCAGAGTCGAGACTAGAATCTAAGTTTCCAGCTGCTGTTTTCTGTGACAATTATAGGTATGAATTACAATAATTCACTTCCAATCTCACGTCCCGAGAGTATGACTTACTGTTTGTTTTGTAAACTGGTTCGGCACAACAACAGTAATTTCATCAGTTTTATTTCTGTGTTTGACAGGTTCTTCCTAACTGCAGTCCTGTTAATTGGCTTACAGTCATGCCCTTTGTTTTTCTTATGTGTCCCTAATTACACCTGCTTTTGTAATCACTGTACATAAGTCCTCAAACCCAGCTGAGGTCCAGATAGCGAAATTGCTTTTCGATTTTCACATACAAAACTGCCTTTTCATTTGTTTTTGTTATACGTCTTTTGTGTAAAGTGATAAGTGAATATTTAATTATTAAACCTTCTAGCCATCGGTTAAAATTGGGTATCCAAATATTTTCCATATTTTTGAGATACGTTTCATTTTCCCTGTGCCTCCTTCCCACAATTTTATATTTCAGTTTCACAGTTGGTATCATTTAAAAAACTGTCCTAATAAAAGTAGCTAGAACCGTCTGAGAAAGGTTTTAGAATTAAATGCAGACATTCAGCATAGTGTACTTCTTGACCTGTCTTAGCTCATTAGAAAATCTCTCTTTATATATTTATGTATATTTGTTAGGAAATGAGCTTTTATAAAGACTTCAATGTTTAACACTGGATAGAGCCATTTGCAAGATATTTCAGATAAAAACATGTTTGGTTATCCAATAGCAATGACCATGTTTAGTGCCCAGATTTTGGTTTCCAAATGCTATTCCCTACTGAAAATAACCATGGCTCATTTGGAGCAGGGAAAATATAAAATGTGTCTGAGGTATCTTTTTATGAAACAAAACCAATAGATAGCACTTAAAGACAAGCACTTAAAGGATAACATCAGGGGCTCCTGGGTGGCTGAGTCGGTTAAGCATCCAACTGTTGGTTTCAGCTTAGGTCATGATCTCACAGTTTTGTGGGGAAGAGCCCGGCGTTGGGCTCTGCACATGGAACCTGCTTAGGATTCTCTCTCACCCTCTCTCTGCCTGTTCCCGTTTGTGCCGTCTCTGTCTCTCTCAGAAATAAATAAACTTAAAAAATTTTCTTTAAAAAAAGGATAATGTCAGAAGGACACGGGAGCCAAGTTGAAGGTTCTCTCACTGATCAAATTTAACACAATATAAACATCGAAAAGAATAATCATTGTAATTGTGTATAACATGCTAAGTAAAAATGAGCCCATTATGAAAAAGTAGTGGAAAAAAAAAGGAAAGCTGTCTATGAACTTATTTGGTGAATGCCATCTTTTTAGCTGTCTGTGGAATGATAGACAAATCATCATCTTGAAACCCTCAATGCAATTAAATCAGGAGAATCCAATGGATAGTAAAACCATCAGGTGAAAAAAAATTTTAAGGAACATTATATGGTGTCAAAGGTCACAGATCCGATTGCAAAGAAAAGATATGCCTTTATAATGGAGAGATCTGGCTGTCAAACTGAGTTTCACTACCGGTGGGGCAACCTGACTTTATGTGGCTCCTGATGAGATGCAATACGAGGCACTCATGATCATCTGTGACGTATTCTTGCCAAAAATACTTAATGAAAATCTAATTAAGCCTCCTCTCCGGATTGTTTTCCGTGTTTATAAGAAATCTAAGAGCTAAAGGAACAACTTGAATTATGTGATGAGGAAACAGACAAACCGAGAGTGTGAGACTTTGTACAAGACAACTGGCCAGGACTTTTCAACAAGCCAATGTAGTAGGACAAAAAGACTTCTAGATTAAGGCCCTGAAGAGTCACAAGCAAAGTGTGATCCTTAACTGGCTTCAGAGTCTGAAAAATTCAAACTGTAAAAGACATTTGGGGGTATACTTGGGGAAGGAGGAGGATGGAATGGGTGTTAGATAATGTCATACGTTTAATTTTCCTAGAAGTGATAATGGCATTGAGGTACATAGGATGTTGCCCTTATTCTTAGGAGATGCATGTAAAAGTTTTCAAGTCTGAAAAGTCATGATGTCTGCAGCACATTTGCAAGTAAGCATGTAAAAAATTAGTCAACTGTTATGAAAAATTAGTCAACTTTGTGGAGGATATAGAGATGGTCATTGGTTATCCTTCCAACTTTTCTGTATGTTTACAATTTTAATTAAAAAAACGGAGGCAGGAAGTCATTGTATAATGTGATGAATATGAAGCTTCAAGTCAGACTTCTTCCTTTGTACTTGTATACATTTCCTGTTTGAGAGTTTATTTCCGGGGGATGCAACCATTGGAAATAAAATAACTTTTGGTTCTTGTTCCACTCTAAATGGAGTAAGCACATGCTACCTTATCTCTCCCACAAAGTACATATAAAAACCCTGGAGAGGATGCATGGAGCAGCTGTCTGAGAACTCTGAATAGTCATGGTAGCAGGCAAATTTAAGAAGGAGACCAGAATTTGAACTAAGACCATTCTGGCATTCCCAGAATGGCATTCCTGTGTAAGGACAGTGGTGCTTCGTTGAGAAGGGATGTAAACCTTTCAGAGAGGAGAACACTTACCTGTCTTCAGAGGCACTGTCTTCCTGCTACTTGGACCTGGAGGTAAATATAGCCATGAGGTGGGAGCAGAGAGAACCTAAAACCTTGGATTAAAAAAAAAATTTTTTTTAATGTTTATTTTTGAGAGACAGCATGAGCAGGGGGACGGGCAGAGAGAGAGGGAGACATAGAATCTGAAGCAGGCTCCAGGCTCTGAGCTGTCAGCACAGAGCCCGACATGGGGCTTGAACCCACAAATGGATCATGACTTGAGCTGAAGTCGGACGCTTAACCAACTGAGCCACCTAGGCGCCCCTAAAACCTTGGATTTTTGACCAGAAGGCCAGGAAAAGAAAGTAGCCCCTGAGAGGTGGAATGTGTCAGGTGGTGAGAGAAAAAGAAACTCAAAGTAATCTAGGGTTGTGTATGCAAGCTTAGACTCACCCCTGATTGGGACCCAGAGTCTCATAATATCTAACATGTCCAGGATATAATGCAGAATGTAAAATATAAAATATAAGAAGTCAGGAGGATTTCAACATTCCTAGGAAAAGGACAAGACACTGTCCCAAGATAACATAGATCCTTGTTATTATAAAGTAGGTATTACAGGGGCGCCTGAGTGGCTCAGTTGGTTAAGCGACCGACTTTGGCTCAAGTCATGATCTCGCAGTTTGTGAGTTTGAGCCCCGTGTCAGGCTCTGTGCTGACAGCTCAGAGCCTGGAGCCTACTTCAGATTCTGTCTCCCCCATTACCCCTCCCCTGCTCACTCTCTGTGTCTCTCTGTCTCTCAATAATAAACATTTTTTTTTAAAAAGTAGGTATTACAATAGTATTTCAAAGTATGACCATTTTATAATGGAAACTTCAAATTTTTCAGTGGGAAAATAGATAGTATTAAAAAAGAAAGGAACCTAGTGGAAATATTAAAACTGAAAAAATAACAAAATTTATTAAAAAATATCATTGGAAGAACTCAGTAGCAGAACAGAGATGACAGAGAAAAGAGTAAACTTTTAAATTCACATGTATTATCCACACTGAACAAAGAAGAGAAAAAAATACTTGTGTCAATTGATGTGGGGAGGGGAATGACAAAATTAAATGCCATTTATGATAAAAACTAAGAAAACTGGAAATAAAGGAGAAATTAACCTAATAAGGGGCATTTACCCAAACCCCACAACTAACACGCTTAATGGTAATTAACTGAAT